GGGGGGGGGGGGAAGTAATTCATGTGCAATACTAATTTCATGATCAGGAATGGTTAGTCTCCACACCAAGACACGCCATGCTGTATGATGCGTTCAAGTGGACTGCACCAACATTTGCTCACGTTGGTCTGCTGTGCAACAGCGCCGGCCAGAAGCTGAGTAAAAGATCTGGAGATATCGATATCTCTTCATACCGCAACAAAGGGATCCTCCCCATTGCCCTTCTAAACTATGCCGTTCTTCTTGGATGGAGTCCAGGCAGAGGTGAGAAGGGAACAAGCGAGATCATGGACCTCGAAGAGATGGTGAAAAAGGTATAGACTGCTACTTGACTGCCGCTGAGCCATTTGCTGATTCTTCACCATCAAGTTCCACCTCCGCTTCACAAAAGGCAACATCAAGATTTCGAACAAGCTCCCCTTCATACAGTCAAAGCACATGTCTCGCCACCTTGCCTCCCTCACAGAACCCGGATTTGAAAGTCTCTATCTTCCATCGATGAAGGAGACTGTTAGCAACCTCAACTCGAAGAGGGATGCGAGTTCCGGACCCTTGGTCCCAGGCCTACGTACGAGCTCTGAGAAACCTGCTGGAACGCTGGAAACGGAGGTCGCGCCTCTTGACCTCGCTTCTCCCAAAGCACATGCTTACCTGTTGGCTTTCTTCACACTCGACAAGAAGGCGTTTGATGGAGATATTCCCAAATTTGTTGTTCGAAATGAGTATTTGATTTGGCAACCAGAGTCAGATCTTCTCACGACCACCCTATCCGCCTCTCTGTCACCTTTTGCATCGCTGCACCTGCTCAATGGAGACGTCGTGAAGGACATGAAATCCGAGGGCAGCAAGACGCTCTCCTCGGAAACCATCGCCGCGCCAACAGCACTCGTCGACATGTTCGAGGCAGTCTTGGAAAGGGAGATACCCGAAGAGGCCTGGGCTTCGTCCTCGAGCTTCGCTTTAGAAGACAAGATCAATGGACTTTGCCAGCGAATCTTCGCTCTGCCCCTTCCTGGCGCTGACGGCGCCGTGACACCCGCACCCAAGTTGTGGGGCTATCACTTCTTACGTTGGATGCTGTTTGCGGGCAAGCCTGGGCCCGCGATGGTCCCGAGCATGTTGCTGCTTGGCCGAGATGAGGTGTTGCGTCGTATAAAGGTTGCTGGAGAGATTGCAAGGCAGCTGCCGACAACCCAGTAAAGGCACATCGACAGCAAGCCTTGCCAAAGGTGTACCACATGTATCAAATTTATGTATTTGTAGCCACGTCTTATCACAGTATGGAATCATGTAAATCTAGAGCTGACCAGTCTGGTGTCATCATGACCCAGACCATGGTCGAGACATAATTGCAGAAGCCTTAACTCTCTAAACGCCGTCCAATGCTTCGTATCTCATAACCGCCTGCATGATTGATGCTTGCTACTATGCAAGCATATGCGCATGGCAACTCTCTTGAGGCACCACTAAGCCAATCAAACATCTGCCTCGCTCTTAATTTGTACAGCCTCGGCACCGGCAGTCGGCTCAGCATTACCCAAACCGTTAAACAGCTTTGACTTGACCTCAGTCGCGACCAATCCCTGAACCTCCTTTCCGACGACGGCTTGACTATCCCGTGACAGCTTCTCTAGCTCAGTATCGATGGCCCTACCCGAGCCAAACATCTGGCCACCTCTTTGTCGCGAGAGTGACGTGGTAGCTTCGCGAATCTTGCTGCCCAAGTCCAGCATCTGCTTGTTGCCATAGTCACGATTTGTGAAGAGCGTAGATTGCGACAGCGTTTGGACCCAGTACTTGTTCCATAGTAGGTCGAGCAGCGAGGCGTCGAGCGTCGACTTGAAGTGTGAGACCTCCAGGCTGTAGTATTTGTTTGCGTGCGCACCGAAATCTGCCGCCTTGGCCAAAGGTACTGAGCGTCCCCCGGCGGCGGAAGCATCCTTGGTGGCTGTGCCAGACGCAGCGGACGAATCTGCTACGTGATTCTCAGGGTATGTCCTGAAGGCACCAATCTCGACTCTGCCGGCACTGATCGTTCTATCGGGGTCAATGACCACGGCAAGGAAGGGCTCTTGGAACTTTTGCTGCAGGGCCTGTGTGCTGACATCGATTCCGGATAGCCAGCAGCCATAGCCAGGGTGACTGTGGTACCAACCGACTACGTTCTCCTCCCTAGCTCCCTGATCACGGCTCAGGCGCAGGTATTCGATCATGTATTCGTTTGCGTCATCCTGGGCGTTGACTCTCGTCTCGGTTCCCTCGACGGGCAAACCAAAGGCATCTGTCACAATGAACGTATCCTCTGAGACGTAGCCTTGCATGAGGCCCATGACTTCAATCTCTCCACCAGAACGGGCATGCATCACCATCTTGATGAGGGCGACGGCGCTGATTCGCACATGCTTGAAGTGGTTCGGGTTCTGTCGCCACGGCTTTTTACCGTCAATTTCCTTTTGTGCGGCCTTGTCATATCGGTACAGAGCGTCTCTTGTGGGATCGACAAGCTTGATATCGTTGTCGAGCTCTACAAAGATCAGTCAGCAATTCGTACGTTACTCGGAATTAACCAAAGTTGGCGAGGGAGTAAGGCCATTCTACAACAGCTTTATAACCCCCTCTAAGTATGCGAGCAAGGAACTTCACTTACCCCATGACTTCATTGCCACATCCATCTTGACCTACGGGCTCCACGAGCTGGTGGCCACGGATTGAACAGAATAGATGGGATAATGTAGGTAATGGTGAATGTTGGAGGGGGGTTATTTATCGGCGTTTGGATGCCTGGTTATAGTGACTGAGGTAGGTGGGTAGGTAGGTGCTATGGGCGGGGAGCTTGAGGCAGCTAGGATGCTGCATAAGTCTTTATCGATAACAAGCGTAGCCATGGATAACTTTATGCACCTTAGTTAGATTTCCGAGACTTCAGTTTCGTAGGGGACCAATTCCATCGCGACTTTACGATTTGGAACTCCAAGCAGTCGCAAACACAGGCGCAATGACGAGGTCACGGATAATACAGTCGGTCGCAAGGCCATTGGTCAGTCCACGGATACGCGCTGTCCTCCAATTCTTCTTCTGACTCTGAGCAGGCCCAGCAACCTCGAAATGCCTTCACTGGCACCATCGCATCCACCCGCTCGATGGCCGACGTGTGAGTTGATATATGCACGAGAATATTCAAAGACCGTGTCGTGTTAAACGAAAGTAAACAGGACAAAAAAGCCAACCACCCAATTCCCTGTCCAGAGCGACCTACCACCGTCTCTGGTCATGCAGTAAGCCTCACCCAGCAACTTGATTCAGCACATACGTCAAGAGGTGCCATTGCTCACATCTAGCAGGCCTGAGATCAACATCAAGACGGGACAAGGCGACAAGGAGGCTCTCCGTCTCCCCCGTGCAGTTCAAGCCGTCTATCTCCGACCCCTGCGAAGGACGCCCACCTACGGCGTGCCATCCTGCGACTTGCAACTCCGATCCTACAGTGTCCCGAACCTCGAGTTCTTCTGCGACTTTGCCCTCCGGGCTGCCTACTACCTGGGTCTCCCAGCCTTCGGCCCCGTGCCGCTGCCCAAGATTACCGAGCGCTGGACAGTGCCCAAGTCGCATTTCATTTTCAAAAAGAGTCAGGAGAACTTTGAGCGTGTGACAAGACGGAGACTTCTTCAGATCCGCGACGGACACCCTGACACTGTGCAAATCTGGCTGGCTTTCCTTCAAAAGCACGCATACTACGGTATCGGTATGAAGGCGAACGTCTGGGAGTACAACAAGCTGGGTAAGTGATCAATTACGGGTGGCTTCAAGTAGCATGTCGTAAGCTAACAATTGCTAGATGTGGGCAAGGAATTGGACGCCGATGCTAAGTCCATGGAGGAGCTTGTCGAGAAGAAGATGGCGGCGCACCTTGGACGGGACAAGATTGAGGGTACAGTGCAAAAGGTTCAAGAATTGCTGGAGAGTGAGAGGTTCAGACAACGGTACAACTAAAATGAGTTTGTCGGTTCATATCCAGATGATGTGGTTACCGAATGTGTATAAAGACTGTACCAATTGTAACATATAGAATTTATGTCTAGGCTTGGGGCCAAAACATAAAACAGGATACTCACCATCTTGAAAAGTGGATTTCATACTCCCCATGAGCTCCAGCTCATGTATTAAAATCGAGAGAGTATCTGTGACGAAAGAAGGGAAGGCGCTGACCGAAAAGCAAATGATAGGAAAGGAGGGACAATGGGGAAACAGTCCACTGCCCGGACGAGTGCTGAAAACGCAAAATTGTAGAAACGTCCATCGGGGGCAACAATATTCAAAGATACAATAGTAGAGACACTTATCTTGCCAAGCAAGTATCGACAGTATAATGTAGATAATACTGAGACAAATGACATTGACAGCTGCCTATTGACATGTGTCTGGTTGTTACTAATGAACTGACTGAACCAAAGGTCCCTCTTCATGTAATCAACCGAAAGTGCTTGGATTGATGTTTCTTATATTACATGTGGTCACTCCTGCCAACACGTCGCTCATTATATTCTTTAATCTTCAATTTCATCTTTCATTCTTCTGTATTGCCAAAGATTGAAGTTCTTAGTAGCTCCGACAAAGTTATTCTCCGGCAAGGAAGACGGAACTTCACATTTGAACCAAGATTCAATCAAACAAGTTCTAACGACATGCAAGATCTAATGAGTCTTGAACCCGGCCTTGATATTTGCAAGCAGATAAAACATTTTCTTGGTAATTTTATGAATACCAGGCTCTTAATTGGTTCTGGTGGAAAACGCGACAACTGCCCAGATGCATATCCATTTCACACACGGCAGTCCCAGTCCACAGATCATCAAACGACCCATCCATAAGTGATGCAGAAACAGTCATGAAAGGTATAATCATTATAGACGTTCCAAGTCTGAGAAAAAAAGATATATGCAAGTCCATCCACGGTTCCTTGTTCTTTCAATCCCAGCCAATCACGTCACGGAAGATAACACAATTCGCGATCCCAGATTTGAAGAGAATTAGAGAAATTTGTGGACTTCGTATGAAATTATTGACGATATATTCATTTCAAGACTTACCTGCCAACTTTCTGGATGATCTGCTCAGCAAAACGTTCATACGATATTGATGTTGAGCACAGCCACACATTCGCTTGCGCCACAAAAGCTAGAGCTAGAGGTACGTACCTACATACTGGAAAGGGCCATTTTTACAGCCAAAATAGTCACCACATTCATACCGTCGGTCGACGATTGTGATATAAGGTAACAAAAAATTACAGAAAGCTGGATCAAGCTTGACTAGGTGAGTAGATTTATTCAAATTTCTACCAAGACGACTTCTAACAAGCTTTAGCACTGGAGCTTAAGCTCACACTTGTCAGTTCAGCCTGTGACTTTTAAAAAGCTTGAATCAGTCGCGATGAGCATTCCGGCCTGCGCGCGATGCCGGCCGTCTGCTGCATCACGGCATTTACGCCGACTCCTGAGCGGTGCACCGCAGACTTCGCAGGTCCGGCGCTCATTCAGCACCGAGCCTGCTGCTGCCCCGCCAGCGCCGCCCCAGCACGCGACCATCTTCTCGGGCATCCAACCCACGGGCGTGCCCCATCTTGGCAACTACCTAGGCGCCATGCGGCAATGGAAACGACTCCAGGATGCTGCAGGCCCCGAGGATCGTCTCTACTTTTCCATTGTCGATCTCCACGCCATCACCATGCCCCAGGACGCACCAGTCCTGAGACAGCGGAGTAGGGAGATGTTGGCGGCGCTCATGGCCATTGGTTTGGATCCGGAGAGGTGCACAATGTTCTATCAGAGTGCCGTCCCCGCGCACTCGGAACTCATGTGGATTTTGAGCTGTACAGCTAGTATGGGATATCTAGGGAGGATGACACAGTGGAAGGTGCGTCTGTTTTTGGTCATCGACGAAGCTTCTCTCAAAACAAGCACACGTCTATTTGCAAAAAGGAGAAAAAAAGACGCTGACTACAAAGACAGAGTAAACTGACCATGAACGACAATCGCATGTCTCTTGATGATGAGGCCGTGGGCCAGAAGCTCAAATTGGGGTTATTCTCATATCCAGTGCTTCAAGCTGCAGATATCCTTATTCACCGAGCAACCCATGTACCGGTGGGTGATGATCAGAGACAGCATCTGGAGTTTGCAAGAGAGTGTGCGACAAACTTTAATGCTACCTATGATGGCGGTAGCCTTGTCAGCCCGGAAACCATAACAAGTAAGCCTTTCTTTGCTTGCTCTACGAAGATGTATGACTGACATGTAGCCCGCAGCCGAAACGCCCCGAGTCATGTCGTTGCAAAACCCGAGAAACAAAATGTCCAAGTCGGCACCCAACCATCGCTCGCGCATTCTCATCACCGCTTCGCCCGACGAGATCCGGTCCCGTATCAAGGGCGCCGTGACCGACTCGCACAACTGGGTCTCCTACGATCCCGAGGGGCGACCCGGTGTCGCCAATCTCCTCGAGCTCTGGTCGCAGTGTGACCCCAAGGGTCGATCGCCTGCTGGCCTGGCTGCCGACTGCGACGGCATGCACCTAGCAGATTTCAAGAAGCAGGTCAGCGAGGCTATTGTCAAGGAACTCGAGGGCATCGGAGCACGGTACGAGGAGATACTCGATAAGCGTGCTGGGCAGTGGGTCGAGCAGATCCAGGCAGCAGGGGCAGAGAAGGCCAGACAAAACGCAGACGAGACAATGAGAATGGTACGTGATGCCGTTGGTCTGGCAGGATTTTGAGTATCGATCGGTATCTAGTGTACGATGGTGTTTGAGTAGACCATGTCCTGCAAGGAACCGGGCATTTGGTTGTGTAATCCAAGTGTATTATAGTATTATCGTCACTGTATAAGGTGTGCATGATACACACATGTGCTAAAACTTGGAAAGTGTTTGCTCCAATATGTTGATATATAGTATATGGAAAACGATACTTGTGTATAATACACATTGGTTTTACTTTTCGGTTAAAAGCAATATCTGATTCATGGCTCTTCAAATCTCTATCATTCCCGATACTCATTTCCAGCATCGAATCTACAATGAAATAACATCTGCCAGTGATGTAATCTTGTTCCATGGTTGTATTCGAGTCTTGATTGAACTGTTAGTCGACGCCATGTTGGAATCAGTCAAATTACCTCCAGGTGAGCTCAGGTTTCAGTCTCTATTGATTATTTCAGCCCTTCAAGCTTTTTCATCAGTCTCGCGAGATACATGTCCAAGAAATACCACAAGCAGGGGACGTCACGATGAGATCTATCCGGATATGAATATCAATAAGAGGTTAGTTGAGCTGATAGCATTGGGAAATTCAAGAACATCATTTCCAGCATTAGTTGCAAAAGACCCAACGCAGCGTCTCTGCCAAGCCACTGACAGAGCAGGGCATATCCTGAGCAGTCAGTCGGGTTGACCGATTTTCTTTCCTGCCATGACGGGCCCGCCTCATTTGATCGTGCTGTTCTAGCTTCAGCGTAGCGCCTCCCAACATGATCGGCTCATGGCCCGTGGGTCGGTTGAAGCAGGTTTCAAAAGAGTAGCCATTTTTTGTATGATTGTTTATTAGAAATTACACTACAGGACCCGAATCCTAAAAAATTTCCAAAAAAGATCCATGCACGATATCTAAAGTAGTACAGTATGTACTAGCCAAAGTACGTCACGTCAACCACAGGGTTCCCTCTCGAATGTTTACGACTAGATATTTCCCAAATCAACATTAGATGTTCACTGGCACCAATTCGTTGGGGCTCTGGGTCAGCGATCCCAGGTTCTTCCACCAAGAGTAGGCACCGATTAGGAGAAGAACGTAATACACGACCGTCCACACGACCGAGGGTCTGGCCTTGGCCTCGCCCATGTCGTTGATCGGCTCCACGCGACCCCAGAAGCGCGGCAGCCCCATGCAGTTGCAAAAGGCGTGCACCACAAAGATCGCCAGCAGGCTTCCCGTGCGGAGGAACAGAAAGGTGGCGTATGCGCCAAACAGCGACGTGTAGGTCAGCTGTAGCAGAGACCGCAGCAGGGCGACCGAAACGGGGACCTGCGGGTGAGAGATCCGAAACTCGTAGAAGTGGTGCAGGTGGGCCAGGCCGAAGATCACAGGCGAAAGGAATATGGTCTTGGCCACCGATGTCTGCGCCAGAAGCATCAACGGCACCGACGCGGAGCGGAAGAGCACCTCCTCGGTAAACGGGCCCTGATTGGGTTGGAGGATAGGTTAGACGAGGGACACTTATGGGGGGAATAGATAGTTTCATGGTTTGCTTACAGCAATAATATTGCGCCAGGTCGTCCACTCACTGAATAACTCAGTGACGGGCTGGAGGCTCAGCCAGTCGCGCCAGGCTCCGTGGATCACAAAGGTCTCATACAGCGGCCCGGCGAACAAAATGGCCGTCAGAAGGAGGGTCTTGGCCGTTTCGGCCAGACCGACCGGCCAGTAGCCCATGGAGCGGATTGCATCCGGCCGAGTTGCGTGGCCCTGCGACGTGAGGACCAGAAAAGTGCACACTGAGCAAAAGATGCAGGTCAGGCTCACAGAGGTGATGCGCGCCCGAATCACCGAAGGGGCATCACGCGATAGTGTCCTGGACGGCCTGGTCTTGGAAGACAGGTAGAACGGGATGACGTAGACCAGGGTGTATATTACCTAGACGACGAGATATTAGGCATGCCATACATACAAGAACGGTCGTTTCGGTACTTACCAGCAGGACCGAGGCGGTGCCGGTCGTAATGGGTGGTGGTTTGGCTACACCATAATATGTCAGGAGTGGTGAACACCAACAACAATAATCACAAAGACGACAAAGTGGCTCTTGATCATCTTCATCTTCATCATCATCTTGGATCGACGGGCAATGGAACTAACGTTTCTCAGGGCTGAAGTAGCGCGACAGATAACCCGAAATGGACGGCATCGTGGGTTGACAGACTTCCCTCCCCTGGATGGATATTTCCCGTCAGCGGTGGCCCGTAAGAGCGGGCTGAGCAATTTCTTCTTCAGAAATGGTTGAAACTCTAGAAGACCGAGGGGGAGGAAAATTATCACTACGTACTAATTTACCAGCCTCGTGTCAGATCCGTACGGCTAGACAGGCTTTTGGGGCTTTCTTTCTTGCAAAGGGACGGGACTCGAAAGTTTGGGGGTGCTGCCCTGTCCAGTGCCAGGCCAGGTCCCGGTGCTTTGGACGTGGTTCCCGGGATGCCCGCGCGTGTGGGTGGATTTTTTGCTGGCAAGTCGTGGGGGACTTGCACTTTAGCGCCCGTATAGCCGACAATGATTACTAGTACGTCGAGGTTATGGTGTTATTCGGTAACAAGGCATGATACGTACATATTACAATGCTGAATTCGAGACGAAAACGAGTGGATGAGGGATGAGCGATCTACAAATCGTGCTTGAAATACCGCTTTAGATCTATGCCATGTTTCCCTCCACAGAAAAGATGGCGCTTGTCCCAGACGCTTTTCCATGGCAAGCAAGCGGATGTTCAGTTAGATGCGTCAGAAGCTGCAACGACACCAATGGAGCCAAGCATTTTCAGCCGCCAGCCGCGCGCTTTGGGGAGTATGCGACCACTTAAACCTTGATTCCCCTCCTCCTTATCTTTTGAGAGGGAGAGCGACTGCGACTACTGAGACAATGAGTTGTCACGATAACTCCAGAAGTGTTCCAATGCACAACAAACAAGGTATCATGATGGAAACACCAGAGGTCATGAGATTGGGCACAATGATTCGGGTCAACAAATGTTATTAATAGAGGCTGGGTCATGTCGAATCAAAGTTGAGACGGCGCTGAGACTGAGACTTTTCCCACTGCAAGTGACCGACTCTGCCCAGCCCAAGAGCAAATTGTCACTGAAGGAAAGGAGAGGAAAATGTCATCATCCCTTGCCGAAATGGTCGCCAGCATGCCAACTGTCTGCTTGATGTCGATGCAAGCGGGTAAACTTGCCAACCACTCTTTTTTATACTGGGTGCAGCATGTGGATATATGCAAACCACTTCGATTCATGGCGGCCTAGAGTACAAACACGTCATCAATGCCAAAAGTGTCAAGAGCCGAGTATCAAAATCATAAAACAAATCATCCACTCGCAATACCCACGAAATTTAAGGTAGATCGACATTGGCCAAGCTTGTATCCCACCTGTCAAAAAGGTAATGTCGGCTCGTGCCTGTAACAAGGGCTCATCATGTCTTATGCTGCATAATTGTGGTAATATAACTGTGCATTGTTCCGAACACTCCGCGGTTCCTGCACGCGTCGTTCCCGCACAGCCCAGCACAATGTTCCCATTCCAATCAATCAATCCAATTCAGGCCAAAGAGCAAATGCATCAACGACAGAAAGAGGAAGGGCGACGACGTTCTTGGCGTGCCGCGCCGCTGAACTCAATGCACCTCTCTTATGTAGGGGCCAGGGGCTCATATCTGGGGCTACACAGTAACGGTTTGCAAGCACATGGCCACGACGTTCGCTTGACACTACTGCACAAGATTCATCGTTTGGGACGGGAAAAGAAAAGACCAGCCCAAGCGAGGGTCACGAGCCCTTCAATGCTCATTCATCACTACAGTCATTAAACACACTGTTACGGTGTGGTGGATTCGCTCGCGTCCAAACGCTCGCAAGTTTAGGTAACGAATGAACCTGGGGCTTGCCGATCAGCCCCGGGCCTTTTTTAGCCCCTGGGTCATACACTAGTAACGAGCTGGCAAGCCCGCTCATCAATCTCTCGTGCCTGGCAATTGGCTGGGTCCCAGACAAAAAAAAAACCTGAATGCTGGGTCTGGTTCTCTCATTCTCTGACCCAGGGCCACAGGCCACTCAAGTCTCACCGCCCGGCTGGCCAACTCAAACCTCTCAAATGAGCAATCCAGTTTAGGTTGAGCGACCGCGGCCCCTGGACAATTGTCTCCTCTCTGACTTCCCGGGGCGGATCAGCACGGGAAGAAAAAGATGACAACGCCTCGGCCGATGACAAGATAACCTTTCCATGACAATAGAATGGTACTGCCTACAATACGGCACGCGGAACAAGGAGTTCGCGGGACAGTCTCCTGCTATTCCACAAGCCGAGCGCCGGACATCTGACCAAGCGGCCAGCGGCGCCTGATGAGACAGAAAAGCCGTCGACGACTTTTTACCCAACAGGGCATGGCATTGACGGGCTCTAGTCTGGTAGTTGATGCTACGTACAGCCCAAACGACCCAGGTACCTACTTAGGTACTGTAGGAGTCTGGAGAAAGCCACTTGAGCGGACAAAACTTGAACCTACTAGGTATGCATGCTACAGACTACGCAGTACGAGCTGGGTTATCTGGGTCACAGCCTCTCTTGCCATCCTACCTAATTTCATCCCACAGCAGACCTGCAGGACAGCTGCAGCGCCGACGCGACTCCAGTGGCCTATGGCCTCCAATGGATCGCGCAAGAACGCGAACTGTGCCAGCAATCCAGTGGGACAACCGCGCATCACTATTGATGTCCTAATGCAGCCAAAGAATCCAATGCCTTTTTTTCAAATGATACATTACATGACTAGTAGCAGCAGCAAGCAGCAAGCAGCAAGGAGCAAGCAGCAACACTCGTCATCGCTTCATTGGCACGCAGATAAGAAAAGACTGCGGCCAAAGTGGTGGTTGGCATGCCAGGCCTGGCCTGTTATAATAAAGGTCCAGAATTTACTACAGACACCAGGTACCATGCTTAATGTCCAGTCCCCTGCTGATCAACCAGGAAGTACTGAAGGCCTTTGCTGGTCTCCTTCAGCGCTCCTTGCTCACATTAGTTCATCAACGGCCTGCTCAATGCTACCCTGGCGCTCCGTTAGCTCGCATAGCTTGACAGGCGCCGTTCTACGGTTCGTGAGCCAATCGATCGTGGCCGAACGGCCCAGGCGAAAACCAAGAAGAGCCAATATTCTCCCGCCGCCATCCTCTCCGGCCTCGTTTCCTCTTTTTTTGCTGTTCCTTTCTCTTCCCTTTGGGCTTTGTGTTGCGGAAACCGTGTGGTACCTGACCTGCGTGCCTTGACAACAAAGGGGGTCCCCCTACATTACATTCGTTTTTATCCAACCGCTCTCCATGCCAGACTATGTTCGGCCTTACACTCGTTCCTACACCCTAAACATCTACTAATTACGGCATTACCTATATCTGGTTATGCGTCCTAACCACCAAGACCTGGATCGCTCATTTTTGCTATAGCTATAACTGCTCTGCTACCCAAACTCTCATTTCCACCCTGGTCTTCTCGTTTTTTCTTCTTTTTGCTTTCTTTTTGCACAACAAGGTCATATCTTGTAGCTCTTGGTCACATTACTTCGACGGCAGCCGGGATCTGCAAAAGCTTGCTCACCTGCTTGGAATTTGTGGTTGACCATCTCACCAAAATCCTGGACGATAACGAAGACACGGCAGGCCATCCAAAAAAATTATTCGGTAGCGGCCGCCAAACACCAAATTTCCTTTGGACTCCCAATGGTCGATATGGGAACGCACATGACAATACGGTGATCATTGGCCGTGAAAGATCCGCGAGGGAGACAACTTACCTAAGCTTCGGCCCTTGGTCCCGCGAAGGAGGATGTCCTCCACGGCATCTTTGTCGCCGTCGTCCCGTTCTCGCCGTCCCACGACACCAGTCAATAATGAGACGGAGAAGAGAGACAGGCTCTCTGGCGGCATTCGACTTGTTCCGTATTCTCCACCACGACTAAGCGGAGAAGGGGATTCAACAGGGGACGCCCATGGACCACCTTCAGATCACAGGCGCCGCAGCAGCAACAGCCAGAATGTGAACTGGAAGGACCCATTTACCACCAACCCAACGACTAAAAAGAAAAACCCTCCTACTCAAGATGGATTGTCTGCAACACATCCCAGCTCAATACTGACATCGCCTACCTCTTCCGTCGTCTCATTTGGGGAGGCCAAGGGCAGAGGCGTTTCAGGGACGAAACCTGGTTCGGATTCTGGCGCAGGACCCTCCACACCAAAAGCCCCTGTCTATAGCAAGCCCTCGTATGGCAGCGGCAGCACCATGAGTGGCCTCGATGCACCTCCGGATATTCAGCAGCATGGCGCTACACTCACATCACCGTCCAAGACGCCCCGGTCGAGACGAGCAAATCATATTGCCCTGCATCCCGACAGCAAGACCTTTTCGATTGTACTAAAGCCCACTGGAAATCAACGATGGTCAGGACAACGACTTTCAGCCCAATCGGCCCAGTCGGGAATCTCGGATTCTACTCTCAGATCTCCACCACCGTCGACTTATTCAACTGTGACCTCGCATGACGGATTTTCGTCTGATGCAGCTGATGACGACCGGCGCAGCTCCGCATTGAGCTCACTGGCCGAACGTGGCGTCTCGCCCTTCACACCGGCCTCCCTGGTTTCGACAGAGGCACCGGAAGATCAATCAACATCCTCCTGGAGCTCCCGCATGATAGGTGGTCTGCGGAGGGTAGAATCAACAACACCTGAACCAACCGACAAAGGCAAAGGCAAAGAAGTTGCTGAGCAACCTAGCTCATCAACTCTGTCGCCCCTAAAGGAGGCGCCTCCATCTCCAACATTCGGTTCCTCCATCTTGACAGCGAAACCCTCCTGGAACTCACAGACCTCTCAGGTGACAGACTCGACCGTCGATGAGCACACAAATGTCAAGGTCCTAGCCCAGAGCTCGCCAGTGGATACTGACTCGGAGGGCTCGCCGGTGAATCCATCATCGAGCTCATCGAATTTCAAGGTATTTGGAGAGTCATCACCACCCCGGGCAAATGAATCGTCACCACCTCGAGCTGCCTATGACTCTTCTCCACCGCGCTCCTACAACTCTTCACCTCCGCGAGCCTACGACTCTACACCACCACGTGCCTACGAATCATCGCCGCCACGAGCCTATGACACTTCCCCCCAAGTATTTGTAGGCGCCCCTGCGACTCGAAATTATACCGTGTACGCTGGCTCGTCTCCCGCTTCATCGCTTCCGCCCAGGCCCCGTGGTCCGCGACCTCAGTCCTCCGACGGCAGTCTTGCGACACGTGACCAGTACTCCCAGGAGAGCTTGCTCGTCCGCCCATTGAACCCGCTAGGAAGGGATTCACCCGGGTACAGTAGGCAGGCATCTAGAGAAAGCCTCCGGCGCGCGAATTCCTTCTCGTCGATATCAAGCTTAGCAACTGCAGACACTGCCTCCTTGATTACTGGAGGCACACCAAACGTTGTGCGCCTGGCTACGACGCCCTCGATCTCCTCTCTGCGACAACCTGCATGGCCAACACAGCCCAGTGCTGTTCACCACAACCCGGCGCCACGTATGGAAGCGCAACCGCATGTATGGAGTTCTCAGCTCTCGACCGTCATGTCCGAAGACGAAGGCAGCGATCTGGCTTCTCGCCATCTATCATCATCGTCAGCACCAGACCGGAGCATCGGTCACAGTAGCAGGCACAGCAGGCAGATGCTCAGCATATCGTCATCTATCATGGCCGGAGAAGACCTTTCGTCTTCAGACTCGCGATCTCACACTAGGTCGAGCTCTGGGCCATTTATGATGCGTGGAGGCAGAGACGGCGCACAGCCAACTGTTCGAGACCATGACGAGGACGGCGATGGATTGGCCGACTTGCATGAACTGCACCACAAAGGATCTCGGCCCCGACTTTCTCACATGCTGAACCATAAATCCTCGGATAGAAGTCTGCGATCTTCCATCAGCTCGCGAGCTGGAAATCTCAGCGCTTCAAGCCTTCCGCAATGGGCTAGGATATACTATGGTAGCGGCGAGCGCAAGTGGCATCAGGCACCCTCAATCTTGTCTTACTCGGACGACAGTCGACCACCAAGTTCCTTCAGAACCTCGGGTTCTCCCGTGGATGACGGATACCCGTCCACCCTCTTCAGCCCTAGGAGGCGGCCTCGGGATTTTAACCCGGACGCAAGCCCTACTTCGCCCGATACGAACAACAGGCGTTTCTCAGGTCTTCACAAAGGTTTGAAACGCATGACGAGTAGTCTCTGGTCTCCGCACTTGGAAGAGGATCGCCGAGCTCAGGACCCAAGTATGTGGCAGGGCCCCCCAAAGGCCTCGGACACTGGAATCTTTGGAGCGCGCAACAGACAGGTGTTTCTGTTTGCTTTCGGCTTCATCTTCCCCTTTGCCTGGATGGTTGCATCATTCCTGCCATTGCCGCCAAGATCCACCCTTGATATGGTTGAGCGCGGGTACAGCACGACTCAATTCAAGATTCCCGAAACTCCAGAACCGCTAGCGAAGCAAACTCGGGCGGTCGACAAGAAGCGATTTTTGAGCGCCAGGTGGTGGCGCAATATGAACCGCATCATGAGCGTAATTGGCCTGTTGGTCATTGGAGCCATCATTGCCTTGGCCGTCATTGGTTATTGGCAAAACATGAGCCAGTCATAGAACAACCGCTGCTTCCGACCTATCATGACATTGACGAGACTCCATACATGAACCCTGGGGTCGTTCAGGATCTCATCCAACTTTCTGCTACCGCCTCACGCGCATTTCGGTCCCACAGAACGCGAGACAGTCGAATCACGACTACTTTTCAACAATGTACATTTTTTTTAACCACCACCCAACTATTTTTTATTTTCCCTATCACCAGTCAAAGCGACTTTTCTTGTTTTACAAGCATCCTCATTACGAGGAACTCGTCGTTTATATAGACCAAGCGAAATGATTTTTTTTATTCGTAGTCCTGCATATTTTCCCGAGTGCAGGACCAGCATCATGGCACTCAATTTCGGGCGCCCAGGAGAAGACGGGAAATAAAAGAAGGGAGTTTGGAAAGGTCACGACATGTTAATGACCCAGATTTCTTCAAATCATGTTGTCTCTGATACCCGGGAAGAGTCTTGAAAGAGAGAGCAAGAGAGAGGTGGCTGATGTGTGATGATCTACAAATAGAAGTAGAGGTGGAGGATAGCTGAAGTAGTTGGTTATTTAGAGGAAATCGTGCTGTGATGACTGGACTTCGCAGGCGACACCAAATGTATAAAACAAAGCAATATGCCAGCCATTCATGGCTCGCAAAGAGGATAGCATATACCTAATAACTATTTTCCCAGCCAACATTCATGGTCTCATCTATGTGCAATGCGTCTTCTCAGTCAACTAGACCCGAGGTGATATATCTAATGATGTTATATAATATTAGATAGACTATACAAACTGTCTAGTTTATTCTGTTTTAAGCTTTTATAATTACTTCCGCATCATCACCGCCCGGCCAGGCTCAAGCAGTTGACTCATGACTTGTTACATGATTCTGGTCTTGATCATACCCAAAGTGGGTGACATAATTTAAGGATGCTGCTCGGAACCTCGCGGGTCACAATGCCACCATCTGGACCGTTGCCAAGATTGTAGCTCACAACCTCTATTGCCGGGCTTTGGATCGACTTGCGATGGTCGACCAAGTAGCCCTAAATCACCTTGGATTTCAACTGCGTCTTTTCCTTGACCACATCGCCAAGGCTTTGCCCACGGCTTCGTCTCCTGGCTTGCTCGGCTTTGGCCCTCTCAACTTGAGCTCTGATTTCATCTACTATCTCGTTTGCATCCGCTTCGGGATCCTGACTCAGTCCCAAGATGGGCTCCTTGCTTCCACCGGCGGCATTAAGAGACTCTGTGCTCAAGTTCTTGACAAGCTTGACACCTGCATCGTGGCTTCTCTTTTCATGCTGTGCTTTCAGCCACTTTTTGCCAGGAGAGGCGAAGAAAGCGAGACTGGCAAATGTCGTGATGATGGCGTAAAAGTAGACGCGCGACCAGATCGCAATGGAATTGCCAAAGTCCAAAATCACAAACGGGGCCACAACGAAGGAGAAAGTCGTTTGAGTTGCGAGCCAAGATAGGATATCATAGTAGCGCTTGCTCGGCAGTGGCTTCTGATCTACAGGATCGAGGAAAAAGGGGCGAATGTTGCGGCGGTAATCTAGAATATTGAATTAGTACATGCTGCTGGATATAGTCACGAGATGCTTGGGGGAGCGCGTAAGACTCACGTTTTGCGGCAGTCTGCACAAAGCTGGCCAAGAGGAAGCTCAAATAGTATCCTGGGTAAAATCCATGCCAGAACGCGCTGGTGCTAAAGGTAGCAAGACTGGCTCGGAATCCTGGCTTCTTGTTGCGCGGTGTCACTCGAAGATAGATGTAGTATCGGAGCCACTTGTTGGTGTTCATGTTCCAGTTCTCCAAGTAGGCACGACTGTTTTGTGCCGATTCAACGCCCCAAGGATTGATGTTCTGCAGGCGATCCCAGCTGACTTTGCCTGTAGTAGGGTCGATACCCTTGTAACCCAAGCCGGCCAGGATACAAGCGCCCTCTGTGAGGGTCCAAACGCCATAGTATTTAAGACGAGCAGTGAAGCCGACCATATGCAGGAAAAAGACCTTGCGTGGGAATGAGTAGGAACCAAAGCCCTTTTCGAGCATGAAATGCCAATCGTACCACGCACTAAACTTGAGGAAGGCAAAGATCCAGATTAAGCCAGTAGCAAGCTTCCACATGGCGGGAGTACCGCTGCGGGGGATCTTTCTCTTCTTGCGAGTCGGGGGCTTCTTGGCCGGGTCAACTGTAACGGGCACATTAAACATGGAGCAGTCGATCCACGCTTTGTACTCATTATAGTCGAACGAGGGGCCCGCCATGAGGGACGGGAAAAATAGGACATAACCGGCGTAGTCCAAGAAGCCGGGGAGCTTGACGATCCTCTTGTCCTTCTGAAAGTCTGACAGCTGGTCTTCGGGCAACGTGCCGTCAGCAACATTCCAACAGAAAGCCGAGAGCTTCATGACCAGCACCATCTGTGCGCCCGTGATATCGACGGCGGCGGGATTGTTGGCAAACTGCCGCGAGAGTTGGTTCACGGCCATGTGACCCATCAGGAAAACGAAGCCGATCCATGGCATGTAGGGACTGGTGCGTAAAGAGTATGCCAGAGCGTATGTGCCACCCGCAGCGATGATCAAAGTTCGTAAGCCATCCCATAGGTCGAAGAGTCCGACGAGGTAAAAGAGGGAGCATCTGTAAAGACGCCGTGGTTAGCAGAACTAGCCTTTACTTGTGGGAATACAGGGGCCGACTTAGGAAAAGGAAACGCACCCGATAATGAAGGCATTCTTGTAAGCTGGCTGCGCATCCGGAACGCGCTTCAGCAGGCCCGCGAGCGGGTACGAGAGTAAGAATGAGAATATAAGCTTGACTGTGTCGCAAGAGGGACCAGCTTAGCAACGCGCATGTAAAGGAGCAGTCTCGGTCACTCACGTTCATCTGGGGATGCCCCGATGGACCCAGCAAATATCTCGAAAGCTACGGTGATGGCGTCAGTATCTTGTATGACTTTGGCAGCCCCTTGGGCATACGGGAGGATCTCTCACGTTTGTGTATGAAGGGTATCATGCTGCTGCGACTTGTGGTTTTTCTGTCACAACAATATGGTAAAGAGGCGGAATGGGGGAGGGAGAGAGCGAAGTCGCACAGAGGAGAAAAAGGGTGGGAATGGCCAAGACTGTTGGGATATGGATGCCGTTTCTTAGCTAGATCAACATGTTACCAAATGATTTGTCGAACCGGCCGTCGGCAAGGAGATATGTAGGTAGAGGCACAAATTGTGCGCAGCTTTTCGTGACCAGCCCTTCAAAGGTCATGCGCGTGAAGAAGACACGATTATTGGTGCTGCTGCTGGCGGCTTTGCTTTTTGGGCCGTGGAGAAAGAGAGCGACTGTTCAAACACAACGACAGCCAAGCTTCCATTCCCATTCGGAATGTAGAGAGAAAAAAAGAGAAGCAGCAGGCGGTGATGTCACATGCGCTACACTAACCTAGCATGAAATGTCCAGACCCCAAAGGGCCATGTGCCAGATCCCTTGGCTTGAGACGATCCAGGGGACCAGGGTCTGACTGATTCGGTGCTGATGG